AAAAGAAAAAGAAAAAAAAAAAAAAAAAAAAATCAGTCCTGAGAAGCATTATGAGACATGGGCAGCTGAACATCCAGTGCAGCCCTGGCTCCTGACCACGCTTCACACATGCTCGTTCAGATCACACATGGAAAGCACTGTGATTTCAGCTCTATCCAGTACTGGTCAAAAGCATCAAGACCAGGTTTGTGTGGCCCAGAGCCTAGCCTCCCACATGGAAGGTGCCTTAGAAAGCGCCTGCCAGAGGACCAGTGTTATGGTGTCATTCATTTCCTTACTGGGCAGAACCAGGAAATACACCACTTTCCATCCCCTACTAGAGAGGAGATGATGCCTTGCTCTTAGATGGCATTCAATGAAATGTATTGTTTTGGTTAATATTTGCAATCAAATGAAAAAGGAATTGCTAAGACCAACAAGAACGACCTAAAACACTATGAAAGAATTGATACCTACCACGTACACATTAAAAAGAGCCCAGTAAGGGAGATAGATATGTGCCTGCCAAGGTCAAGTCCTTGAAGGCAGCCATGTACCCCACGGGGGAAACCTGGGCTGTGGTATGGACCCCTCTGGTCACTAGACCCACGAGTGCACCAGCCACAAAGGGCCTACCCATCCAGTATCCACTTGCCCCACCTTCCTTAATGAGGGGACCTGAAGTGACATACCCAACTAGGGAAAATGTCCAGTCTCCCTTGCAGTTGGTATGGCCCTGGGCAGCTACTTGGAGGGACCCCAATACTGCTTTGTAAAAACTACATCTTTCACTTTCTCTCTTTGCTGCTTCCTGCTGCCTGGAATGTGGGTGTGATGGAAGGTGGTCTAGGAATCTAAAGACAGAGAGAAGGTACCTGGGCCCCCAGACAAACCCTGAGGGGTTCTCTCATTGTTACATGTCACTGAAGCCCACCCTGAAGGAGCCAGAGGCCCAGCACCTATGGGGACTGAACACACATTCGTCCCAGCTGGCACACTGATGTCACTGCACCCCTCCCCGCAGGGACATCCGAGGAAGAAGCAGAACAGGGGACATGGCAGAGAGGAGCTGAGGCGACAGACTCACTTCTCCCTTCCTTCACCGACCACTGCGATCCTCTTACTGTCTTCCGTCCAAGCAATGTCCTTGATCTTCCCAGCGAAAGGCTGATACTCATACTTCAAGAGGTGCTCTTTCTGCGTGGTGTCCCAGATCCGCAACTTCCCAGACACATCTGTGGACACAGTAGGGTGGCAGATCCAGTCACCGTGGGTACAGGGCTGGGTGGGCAGAGGGCATGCCCACGCAGCACCGCTTGGGAGCACAGGCCTCCTGCAGTTGGCCAAGTTGGCCTGGGAGGAGGGGTGTGCTGTAGGTAAACAATACCCCACCACTCATTGACCAGAGCCTGCTGCCTCCATGAGGACCGCTGCTGGGGCTGTGCCCCTCACCTGTGATCACCTGATTACAATGTCTGCACAGGCAGCAGGAAACCCAGGGACACAGGGAGGCAAATCCCAGGCCCTGGGACACAGCCTTGTTTCATGGCCATCTTTCTTTCCTTGTAGGGGATCTAAATGGCACATGGGCCTTGGGCAACTAGCTTCCTCAACACTGGGGAACTGAAGTTCTTCATCTACATAAGGTGACTACACTAGCGACACCTGCCCCTCCTTCGTGGCTGCTGCGTTACTAACAGAATCCGGGTACACAGCTGTGCAGTTCTGTGCATGCCCGATGTGCGAGGTGGCCCCCACAGGGGTTTGCAGACCCGGCTCCCTCGAAGCTCCTGGCTGCACCTCAGGCAGTCAGCAGCCTCACTCATTACAGTGCATCACAATCTCACAACTCACAGCTGAGGTGTAAGCCTTTAGTGAGACGCACAGGGTGGGTGTGGGAAGAAGTTGTACTACTACAGAACTGGGTGCCAGGCATCTGCTGCCCCTTGCCTCCCTGCCACCAGCCTGTCCCCAGGTTCCAAGCACCAACCCACACACCCTCCCAGCAAGTAAGCGAGTGCCATGTTCCCAGGATGCCAGGTCCACTTCAGCACCTAACACAAACTCTACAGCGGTTCCATGAGACGGCTTTTGTCCTGTTCAGGTGGGGCGAGGGAGGAGAGAGCCAGCGCCCTGCTCCAGGTGTGGCCCTGCCCTGGTCCTACCCTGTATGTGCCTCTGCAGGCCTCAAACACCTAAAACCATGCCGCCAAAGGGGAAACAAGAGGGACAGAGAGAGCGCTATCTCGAAGATGAAAGAGTTAAGAGTTAACAGGCATAAAGTCTCGGACTAGCCCTCAGTACACCACAGGCTCTCTTTAGTCACAACTAGTAACTAGTCCATGAATTAGCTAAGGCTCTGTAGGAGGCCCCTCACCTATGAAGAAAGCCTGGCATCCAGTCCAGCTGTGGGACAGACAGGAGACACACTGCCTTGCATGTGAATGTCACCAACTGAGGGGGCTTCCAGGGGGCTGGGTCATCTCTGGGCAAAGTCTAGAATGATGGCCTGGCATGTCATCAAGGGATGTTCCAAAGGTGGCCTGGACCTTCTTATGTCCCTTTGCTGAACTAACTGGCTGGTCGGGAAGAGAAAGGAAGCAGCAGGCTCGCAGGGTCAGGGAAGGAGCAGAGTGTGCGGAAAGGGCTCTTGTGTGCACTGGGCACACAGCAGGCTGCCCAGGGGCTGCACTGAGCCGTGGGGATATAGCCACAGCACAAGCCCCAGGCATCCCACTCCTACACAGGGTGAACCCCGCTCTCCCACTTCCCTGGGTTCTGTCAGCTCAGGCTCCATTCCAGGCAGTACAGTCCTTTCCCCACTGCCTCCCCCACCAGACCAGTGGCCTCCTCCATCAGCCCTGCTTGCTCATCAAGTTCTTTCCAGAAGCGGCAGGGGTGAATAAAACACATCAGGGCTGGAGACCAGGCCCTCAGGCCCGTCTGACTAGGGCAGCCCTGACATGGTCACCAGAGAACAATGAAGTGCCCAGGGTGCTAAGCCCAATGCTAAGTGCTGGGGGCAGAGCGGACAAGCACCTGCCTGGGGCCTCAAGGGGGACAGAATATATGATATGCACACGTCTACACATGTGTGGATGCACCACACTGCAAGGGGACAGTGACTAGAACAGGCCTCTACTCATGATGGCTCCACAGCTTGCTCTCCTCCATGCTTCTTCCTAGCAACGCTCAACATCCTTCTCTGGGCTTGGGGCTCCGACTCCAGAAAGCCTGTGCCATGCAGTAGGCGGCCCTGCTTTCTAATGGTCACCTGGGAATTATGGCCTGGGTGCCCAGGGGACTGAGCACGGGGCACAGCCAGCCAGTATCAAAGTCACCTGAGGAAGCCACCACTAGGAAGAGGGAATGGGACCTGCCCTGGAGACAGACGGCTCCACACTAAGGAACGTGATGTGGCATCGTGGCTCCCTGAAGGCAGATACAGCCGCCTTGTTTAGGGCTGGGGCCCGGGGCCTGGGGCCCTGGCGTGGGCTTCCTCCCAAAACAGGCCTTCTGGAGGGTTCAGGCATTCAGAAGATGGGAACCAGCCAGACTTACAGGGACTTAAAGATCCAGCAGAGGGCTGGCACCCCTTCTGGGAGTGAGCGGCAGGTTTCCAGAGGCCCTGAGATGCCCCCCACCACCCTACGCAGGCACAGTATGTACCAGGTAACATTAGCCAGAGAGCACAGAGCTCTCTCAGCTCCTCCTCCTCCTCCTCCTCCTCCTCTCTCACACACACACACACACACACACACAAATTTAATTTAGCCCAGGGCTCTCCTCTCTGCAGTTAATGTTTCCTTGTCTTCATTCTGAGCAAAGGACCACTGCCCTGAGATGTAACTGTGATCTCCACCCAAAAACACCTGCTCCTGCGGGCAGCTAGGGCAGCCCAACTCTCCCCGGTTCCTGCATTCAATGAGGGCGTTTTTAAGAAAGTATCAAGCTGGCCCCTCACCTGTGTGGACTATTCTCACTGACTCTGCATTAGCATCTGAGGCGACCGACTACTGTGTGGTTGAACACCCTGCTGGGGACAGAGGACAGGGCAGGCCTGGGGACTTGGGACAGGGCAGGCCTGGGCTTGCCGGTGATTCAGCAGCTGGGCTCTCGGCTCAAGGCACCAGGGCGGGGAAGCTATGCCAAGCAGGCAGTGGGGGCCTCCCAACCACATTTCTCTCCTGAGAAGACACACTTTTAAAAGGCACCAGGGCCAAATCTTGGGGTTTTAATAAATGCCATTTTGCTGGCAAGCAAGGCCAGAATAAAAAAAACTCACACAACTAAAATAAATCACAGGATATAAATCAGAGCAAGTTTTACAAATGGAGTTGGAGTAGGTCAAAACACAGAAATCATTAAGTGCCCACTACATGCCAGACTCCAGGCCAGGCCTCCACATACAACCCTGGCCGATAGTACTGCCCTCAGCCAGCACGCCTGTCACCCTGGGGCCTCCCAGTTTGGGTGATAAACTTGTTGTCGCGTGCCTACTAGGCAAAAGCCCTCCTTGGTATTTTTCATGCATCGCCACACTGGACCCTTCCCAAACCGACCTGGTAGGTACTAGCAGCCCGTTTACAGAAGGGAAAACTCAGGCCCAGAAAGGTAAGTTACTCAAGGAAGGCTGCACAGTCAAGGAGGGGTTGTCCCTTCAGGAACCAGTCCATGCAGAGCGCACCATGCCCAGAGTGGGGGCAATGCATGAAAAGCAGTTACTAGTGTGCATGAATCCTGGCCCTTCCCTACTGGTCGGTTAGTTCCTTCAGCAATTTCGTTCTGTCGCTCTCTGGGGATGCAGAGGCCCACACCAGCTCATCCACTTGGCTCTCCCTGGGGCCTGAGATGGGCTGGGCACAGGAATGACAGACAATAAACACTCTGCCTTGTGTGTGAATGGATGGGATGTGGGGTTAGGGTAAGTCACTGTAACTTCTGTGCCTCCCTTTCTCATCTGTAAATGGTAAAAGATCTACCTCAAAAGATTAGGTGAATAAAGACAGCATCCTAGAAGGGAAAGGTGTGTGCCCAGCCGCCCACTGAGCCACAGAGCCCGGCCGGAGAGCAAAGGGTCAGACCAAGAATGAGATGAACGCTGACAGAGGCTGAGGCCGGCATTGTGCTAGGTACCAGGAAAGAGTAGCAGATAAAGGTGACACAAGACAAAGCTGTGATTCAGAAACACACACACACACTCACACACAGGCTCCAGTAATCATGATACAGCCACCACAAAGGCCTCTGGCCAACCTCCCAAGAATATTTCTGCTGAACTTGGAGGTTGAAACCAGCTGGCAGGCTGCAAACTAAAAAGTAATGGAATGGGGCTTTTCAGTGGCTTATACTTTTTTTGTCAGCCCCAAGAGACTAATCACACTGGTTCCACCTGCCACCCCCATGACTCGTCACCCCCC